GTTCTGTTTATGGTGGTAGGATGTCTCTTATACCTTCGCCATGCTTTTTTACTTAGCAGTAGCAGCCTTCTACAACGGAAAGCCCAAACCATATTGCCGGTGAGGAATGTGTTCTTGTTTAGATTAAGGATGTGTCAGTGAAGGGTTTCAAATTGGTTGTCAACATCCCCCCGGGAGAAGAGCATTCCAGTCGGTGGTGGGCGAGCTCAGAGCAAAGGGGGTGGCCAATTACCTCTTTCCCCTAGCCAGGTTGTGCGTGTGGACTCCTCACCTCGTTCTGTTGGGATCTTTTAAATGTGGTAAAAAAACAGCCTTGTGGTCAGACGATCCAACGTAGCCGAGGGGTTTACAAGTGACTATGCCCTTTTGCCAGATCACTCACTACTGGGTCAAGGGAGGAGCCAGAGATATGAGTAGGGAAATCAACAAAGTTTCTCATGTCAAACACTGCAAGAAGGTCATCAAAGTCCCTCTGTATAAGGTGCTGGTTGAGGTCACCAACAATTATAATATGTTGACAGTTGTGTTGTAGCAGAAGGGAGTCAATATTTTCCATTAGGAAGTTGATAGGGTCTGCATGTTGCCACTGAGGTCTGTACATTGCACATGCTAGTACAGAGGTACTAGTGTTTATACAGAGCTTGAAGAACATCATTTCAAGATGTGTAGGGGTGGCAACATCTATGTGCTGGGCATGAACACTTTTAGAGAAGCACACAGCAACACCACCTCCTTGCCCTTGCCTGTCTCTTCTCATCCATGAGGTGTAGCCAGCAATTCTTGCAAAATTTTCTGGAGTCCTGTCATGAAAGAATATTAGACTCGCCAGTTGACGTGTATTGCACGCTTGGCACGATTTGTTTACTTTTGAAGTTTGGTAAAAATCGAACATTTCTGCTACTTTGAGCTCAATTTCAAGGCACCTTTCATTGTAAAACCAGTCAAAATCATCTCAATTTCTGTAATATGTCTTCCATTCTATAAAATGAGACCAAGAAAACTAGAATACAACAATAAATACCATACGAAAATACACTGCAAAGTCGCCGATTTATTAAAAAAAAATGGTCAGTTTTTTTTTTCTCATTATGCACTGTGTGCTGCAGGATTTTTTTTAGACTGTGCACACTGACCACATAGACCCATTCTTTCATATGAAGGCCTACCAGCTTTCTCCCACTAGATTTGAGGCCGCTAGAATTTATGAGTACTAGTACGTCAAAAACCCCTACGCGTAAGACGTACTAGTACGACCAAAACCCTCAAAGGGTTAGGCAAACAATAGTAAATAAGAAAATTACATAAGGTGACTTATGCTTACTAGTAAAATCACAAAATGAGGTAGTTGATTATTTAATTACTAAGATTGTACAATGAAATTTGAACAATAATGGAGCAAAACATACACTACACTACGTAGGCTTTTAAGTTGGACATTGTTTAGTTATTCTCTGTAAGATTAGTATCCCTGAGAAATCGTGGTAGATCATTCTCGTTCGTGATTGTGTACAGTTGACCTACATTTGTTTTCCTAACAAGAATTTTCCCATCCCGTGTGAAGCATTGGTGTATTGTCTTTATTCTCCCGCTTAAGTTTTCTGACTATACAGGAGGTTGACGTTTTTTGGTAAGACACTCGTTTATGTATACCTCTTTCTTTACTTTAATAGATGCAATAATTAAGTCTTTTTTCCTGTCATGTGAGTGGAATCTAAGCATAACACTTTTTCTACCATGGGATCCTAGTAACCTGGCTTCTTTTATTTCAGACTCTGGTACAATAACACTTGTTTGGTCCTTTATGATCTGCAGAGTAATTTCTTTACTGTTCATTTGGTTCATATCACTGGGAAAAAGTTGACTGTTAACTATTACTGCGTCCGATAGTTTATCTTGTTCAGTTTTATCTTCTTTGAGAGCAAAGTAGTCACTGAACTGGTTATCTAAGTTGTTCTTCCAGTCTTTTACTGCTTCTTCAACCTTTGTATTAAGAGATATTATTTGTTAGGTATGGCTATCTATGACTGTCTGGATGGTCTTGTCACAGTTAGTCATTCCTGGTGTTGATAACTTTTGTTCAAGACTGAGGATTTTGTTCTCGAGTTGTCATCCTGGTGTCTTGTCTTGTTAGCGTCTCTCGAAGATTCATATTTTCAATAACTAAGTTGGAGATGCACGACTTTAGGGTATCTGGATTGTTGGTCATACCTGAGAGACTACTTGGTAGGTTGAATCCGGGGAAGAGAGGGGAGGATGGGCTGGTGGCAGCCATGTTTGTTATTGTTGTGGTGTCGCTTTGAGCGGTGGTGAGTGGGGTGGTTGCTGGGCCGGCGTCCTCCTGGCTACACTTGTTGAATAGTTGATTTTTCGGCGTTTTCTTGCTGGCCTTGGTGCTGTTTCCTCTTAGATTGCGCCTCGTAATACTACAGGAATTGTTGTAGTTAAGAAGTTGTAGTTATACAAAGTTTAGGGTTACGTTGTTCGGCTGGCAGCGGGGTGTTGCTTTCGGTTTGTGGGCAGTCTTCCTTTGATCTCTATTATGTTCGATTTGTAGGTTTCACTGTTGGTAATCTTTGGTCATTCTGGGTGCTACGTTGGGTAGTGCAGTTTTGCATGTAACTAGGTCATCATAGGAGCATTTGTAGCTCTGATAGTTGGAGAAAAGTACGGAGCTCGGAGGTCGCTGCTGCCGCTGCCGCTTGATCCAGTATAATGCCTTGCATCCTACGAAAGGGTAGGTGCTGCTTCACTTTGGTACCTTCCCCATTTTGCATCCTCAAACTAGTCTCTGCTTCACCTACCTTTTTCCCTTGGTCTGTTTTTATGGTTCACTTTTGTCCTAGACCAATGTGTTGAAATGTCTGTTACCAAATAAATAAAATACATTAAATTCCTACATAGACCCTCCTTCCAGTCAGGCAGTTTTTCACTACCTGAACTTTTGTTACTCTGCTTTGTTTTTCATGTTCACCTTTAATTTCTTGACTCTCAAAATCTTCCTTTGCAACTAAAGCTTCCAAATGCTATCATTGGCAGAGCCACTGACAGTTCCCACTCATTGTCACTTCATCTCTCCAACACCACCTGCATTAATGGTTTTACAATTGCATCTATACATACAGTACTACATTAAAAAGTTTTATAACTGTAGTGTAGGAACACGTTTAGTAAGATTGATGGAGTGAATGATGACAGAAGTTTCTTCTTTTCCGTGTCGCCCTACCTTAGTGGGAAGTGGCTGATGTGTTAAAAAAAAAAAAAACACCAAGGTGACTTCACACATTCCTGTCTATGGTCTGCCTTTACTGAAAGTTCTCTTCCTCCCCTAACCTACCCGAGACTCCAGAAAAACTCTTGCCACTAGTAACCTACTACCTATTCCACGTACTATATACATGTATTTGTAGCATCTGCCGCGTTTTCCCTACACCCCACTTCATTCTAAATCATTAGTGTGATCAATAGTAAGTGTTATATAAGTACAGTGGTCCCTCGTTTATCGTCATTAATCCGTTCCTGGAAGTGCGACGATTATCGAAATGACTTTCGAATCGATTTTCCCCATAAGAAATAATGTAAATACAATTAATCCGTTTCTGACACCCAGAAGTATTAAAACAAAAATTTTTTTTACATGAAATATAGATGTAGTACATAAACAGTACAATGAGACATGAATGAAACGTTAACAGCATAACACTTACCTTTATTGGCGATTCTTAGTGTATGGAAGACTGGAGGAGGAGAGAGATTGGATTAGTTACTGTTTGGAAGCAAAATCCCCTTCCATCAACACCTCAGGTACCAAGTCCTTTTCTGGGGTTACTTCTCTTCTCTGTTCCTTAATGCCACTAGGACTAGCCCGAGAGTCACTGGAGTCCTGTCTCGCAAAAAAGGTGTCCAGAGAGCTCTGTTCTGGCGTCTCTTTAAAACTTCCCTAAAATGGGCCAAGACTGTCACTGTACAAGTTGCCGATATGGCTTGCAATATCCTTCTCAGGGTGATGTTTCTCCATAAATCTTTCCATCCTACCCCACATTTCAAAAATCTCCTCAATTTCTGAAGAAGGCACCTTCTTCCCTCTCTTCCTCCTCCTCTGCAGCAAGATTCTGAGCTGCGATCTGTTGCTGTTCCTGCTGAAGCTCTTGCAGCTTCTCAGTGGTTAGCTCTTCGTTGTGGTCCTCCACAAACTCTTCCACATCCTCCAAACTCGCATCCAACCCCATGGAACTCCCCAATGCCACAGTAGAGTTCACAACTGACATAGGCTCATCAGGGTCAGCCACAAACCCTTCAAAATCCATCTTGTGGACACAATCTGGCCACAATTTTCTCCAAGCAGAGTGCAAAGTCCTGGTAGTCACTCCCTCCCAAGTCTTACCTATAAGGCTTTCATATTGTTCATTGATGTTTTTCTTAAATTCAGTCGTATTTCTCACCTTTACCAAAGGCTTGGCACCAGAAGCTTTCTTTGGAGCCATGGTAGCTTATTTAGCACTTCCAAGCACTAAAATGAATGGAATATTATGAAATATTTCGTATGAACAAATGAGGGGACCGTCGCTCACTGGTAAACAATGGCGCACTGGCTGGGAAGGGAGGCAGACGCGGCTCAGAGCCGTGAGTACGCGTCCAGGACAAACGATGATTAGCAAGTCAACCGACCATTTGCGAGCCAGTGTTTGGACGAAAATAACGCGACGATTTCCGAAAAGGACGATTATCGAGGGACCACTAATTTTTTTTTTTGCTCAGACAGTTTAACTGGAGTGTAGGCATGCCTCTGGCAGGATGGTGGAGTGAATGATGAGTTTCTTTTTTGGGTCACCCTGTCTTGATGGGAAATGACTGGTGCGTTAATAGAAAAAAAAAGAAAATTTTTGCTGTAAAGTTGTCATAGCAGCACAAGTTTGTACTTCTGGAAAAGACAGCTAGTAAATTTAATGATTTTCCTTTTCATATTTGCTTTGATTGGATGTCATGTCTTATTTTAATTTCAGAAAATATGAAGAAATCTATCCCCCTGATGTAGGGCAATTTGCCTATATTACTGATAACACGTACAAAGTTGGCCAGATCTTGCGCATGGAGCACCTCATCTTGAAAGTGTTAAGCTTTGACATGGCCGTACCAACAGCACACTTATTTGTAAACAAGTTTTCTAGGATGTGCAAAAACTCAGAGGAGAGCCTACATTTATCCTTGGTAAGTATATCAAAATGTTATGTTGATGGTAATGCTTGTGGTTGTAATAATTCTAGAGCTGATTATCATTGGGCTGTAATTTTGTTAAAAAGTAGATTTTCATCCCACGAGCACTGGGTTGCCATGACTTGGTGGGTTTTAAATAATTCTTGCTGTATATCTTAATTTTTGGTTTTCCATTCTCTCCATAATTTTAACCTTCTAGGCTAGTGGTTTTGGGGTTGACCTTTTCCTGGTCTGGTCTTGGACCAGACCTCTTAGGTTGGAAAGACACTACCAAAGTATTAAACACAGAAGTAAAGTATTGTATACTGATTGTAAATAAAAATTTGCAAGATTTGCTTGTCATCTTTAGAACATAAAGGAGGAACACTGCAGTAGGCCTGTTGGCCCATACTTGGCAGGTCCTTACAAAACCAACCCACTAACAGAGCATTTACCCAACCCTACTGTGTTACTATATAGGGTATGGCTCCAGGAATGGCATGTAATACCACAAAAGGCTTGGTGTTATGAGCTGTATAGCCCTTGTGGCTTAGCGCTTCTTTTTGATTATAATAATAATTGGTGTTATGAAGGTCATACCCTCTTATCTGTTAGTAATGGTTGCACTCTAGTGGTTTGTACAAGCAATTTAGCTAGGCTTGCTTGATTAATTATGGGGGGTGGCATCCTAAGGTACGTTTCTTAGCTAGGTAAAAGTGGGAAGGGGAATGAGGTTTTTCTGAACGTAAGCAGTGCTGATTATTGAATTTATGGTAAGTATAGCTGAGGGCATGTTTGAAATAAAAATGTTAACAGTTTTTGCTATCTAATGGATGCCTTTGCAGCATGTGGGTTTTGTATATTATTTTGATTTTATCTTTGGGTAGGTTCTAGGGGTTGAGCGTATTAATGTGCTCATAGTAGCCTGTTAATATGTAAAATTTTAACATCTAACTCTGAAATTTTAGGTTAGTTTCTGCTGTTTGTACATGTTGAAATTGGAAATGTTTTTAACCCTTTCAGGGTCCAAGGCCCAAATCTGGAGTCACGCACCAGTGTCCAAGAATTTAAAAAAAAAAAGTTATTTTTTCTTATGAAATCGTAGAGAATCTTTTTGTGAAGGTAATAAAACAAAAAGTACGAAATTTGGTGGAAAATTGACGAAATTATGCTCTCGCGAATTTTGATGTGTCAGCGACATTTACGAATCGGCGATTTTGCCGACTTTGACTCCGATTTTAGGCCAATTACATTATTCCAATCAACCAAATTCTTAGCTATTTCACTAGTATTACTTCTATTCTATCGATTGAGCACAAGAAATCGCCAAGTCAACTGTTTCAACTACAAAATAGTGATCGGAAATTGTTAATTTGGCCAATTTAACACAGTTCAAAATATTCCAATTTCAAAATAGGGTCCAGAATAAACAATGTAGGCATTCCTGGCACTAAACTAACGTTTCCTCTGTTCATTAGTTATGTTTTGAGGCTTTACAAATAAATTCCATTTTGATTTTTTATTCACATAATGAATTTTTATTCACACCAAAAAATAGAAGATTTACTGTTATGCAATACTGTAATAATTGTATAAATATCATCACCATATTTGTGAATGTATATTAGACCCACTAGCTGACGTGTATTAGACGTGTGAGGTAGTTTGTTTACTCTTGAATATCGGCAAAAATTTAACATTTCTGCTACTTTGAGCTCAGTTTCAAGCCATTTCCAGTGCTAAAACCAATCAAAATCATCTCTATTTCTGTAATATGTCTTCCATTCTATCAAATGAGACCAAGAAATCGCAAATACAACTATAAAAAACATACGAAAAAACACTGCAAAGTTGCTGTTTTAATCGAAAAATCATGATTTAAGTTTTTTTCTCTCATTATACACAGTGTGCTGCAGGATCTGTTTTATGTGGTGCACACATACCACATAGATGTATTCTCTCATATCTAGGCCCAAATGTACCACTCACAGTTTATCAGTGAGCTGAGCTCATGGCGTAGATCTACGGTTTGGACCCTGAACGTAAAGCCGTAGATCTACGGGACGGACCCTGAAAGGGTTATAGCTGGTAGTCTCGGATATGGTGACCCAAAAATTTTTTGAAATTTACTTTTTTAACAATCTCTGTGAAGTGGCACTTGTTTTCAGCAGTCTGAATTTGTTTTAAATATCTAATTTTTAGGGGAATATGTAAAATTTAAGTACAGTGTATATGTAAATGTAACTGTCTGGAATGTACTAGGGATTTATCTAGTCTCTGAATGCAATGTAACTTCATTTTTTAAAAAGGGTTAAGTAGGTGCTAAATTAACCAGTGCTTATCTTCACAGCAACATTATACATCTTGTATACTATACTAGTGTACACTTAGCTGGATAATTCTATCACTCCTTAGCTGTAAGGATTGACAAGTCTTGTGTAAATTGGGGACAAGGCTTGTGTGGGATAGCTGATCTACCAGTGTCCCAAAGACTTCTGGGCTGTTTTGGAGTTAAGGGGAAGTGGTGTGGCCTTGCTCATGTCTTATCTTAAACAGCACTTCTATTTAGGAACATTAGGTATTTGTTGATCTTTCAAAGTTTTTGTCTCCCAATAAGGTAGGGTGACCCATAAACAAACTTTTTTTTAAATAGTTTTTATAACCCGTTTCCTCTTGACTGCCTGTTGTAACTTGTAATGCACAAAAGATTTGTGACCTTTTCATTATTCTGTGTTAAACCTGGATTGATTTTTTCTTCCATGCTTGAAGCTAATGGTGAGGGTAAATTAAGACAATTTTATGCTGGTTTAGACTTTTTCCCTTTAACCTCTTGACTGTCGCAACCCCAAATCCTGAGGTGTCTCCTGGTGTTGCAGAATTTCTGAAAAAAAAAAAAAAAATGAAAGAATATTTTCCCGATTGTAATGACGCCAAAAGAACTAAATTTGATGGAAAACTGACTGAATTATGCTCTCGCGAAGTTAGCGACCTCGGCAGTATTTACGAATTGGCGATTTCGCCCAATTTGAGCCCTATTTTCGGCTTATTCCGTTGTTCCAGTCAACCAAACCGATAGCTATTTCTTCAGAACTCCATTTTTTCTATAGATTGAGTACAAGAAACTGCCCATTTACCGATTTCAACTACCCAGTAACGTGGTTAGAAATTTGCAATTTGGCCAATTTCACGAAAATTAAAAAATGATGTGACTGATGAACAAAGAAATCGTCCCCAGGCCCCTCTGCTATTACTCTTGCTTTCTATTTTGAATTTTTATTCAAACAAAAAATAGAAGATTTACTGTTATGCAGACTACTGCAATATTGTAATAATTGTATAAATAATGTCAACCCATTCATGACTGCATATTAGAATGGCTACTTGGACATTTATTGGAAAATGACATTTTTCTTTTGAACATGGGCAAAAATCAAACATTTCCCTTACTTTGAGAACAATTTCAAGGTTTTCATAGTAAAACCAATCAAAATCACCTCTATTTCTATAATATGTCTTCCATTCTATCAACCGAGACCAAGAAAACTAGAATACAACCATTAATACTATACGAAAATAGACCACAAAGTGGGCGTTTTAATTAAAAAAAAAAAAGGTATTTTTTTTTCTCATTATGCACTGCGTGCTGCAGGATTTTTTTATATGGTGCACACTGACTACACAGACCCATTCTCACATGTGGGCCTACCAGCTTTCTCCTGCTTGATTTGAAGCCGCTAGAATTTGAGTGTATACGTCAAACACGGTGGTTCGTAAGACGAACGTATACAACCGAAACAATCAAAATGTTAAACATTAAATGCCACCTGGGAGTGACTTAGTAGCTTGGTTTTTCCCTTTGTTCTCCTGTATACTTTGCCTGATAATTTTCAAATTGTATGTTGCTATAAAGAGAATTGGGTGGAATAAAATAGTGGACCCCCGGTTAACGATATTTTTTCATTCCAGAAGTATGTTCAGGTGCCAGTACTGACCGAATTTGTTCCCATAAGGAATATTGTGAAGTAGATTAGTCCATTTCAGACCCCCAAACATACACGTACAAACGCACTTACATAAATACACTTACATAATTGATCGCATTGGGAGGTGATAGTTATGCGGGGGTCCACTGTACTGTGAATGTAAATATTAATTGACGACAGTATTTTTAGTGTTGGTCTCCTCTGTGTAATGTATGTAGCACTAGTAGGTAGCAAGGTATTTTTCTGAAAGTTTTCTGTTTTTTTAAGACTTGACATTTCATTAACCCAGATGCCATGCAATATGTTAGTTTATTGATGAGGAAACTTGAGCATTATTACTCTGCTGCTGCTGGATGGTTCCATTGCTGGTTGCTGAATTTGAAGGTGGAGTATTTCTGTAGTCAATTTAACCCTTTGGGGGTTTCGGCCGTACTGGTACGGCTTACGACTCGTGGTTTTTGACGTACTAGTACGCCTAAATTCTAGCACCCTCAAATCAAGTGGGAGAAAGCTGGTAGGCCTACATATGAAAGAATGGGTCTGTGGTCAGTGTGCGCAATATAAAAAAAATCCTGCAGCACAGTGCATAATGAGAAAAAAAGTGTTTTTGGAATAAAACAGCGACTTTGCACTGTATTTTCGTATGGTATTTATTGTTGTATTCTAGTTTTCTTGGTTTCATTTTATAGAATGGAAGACATATTACAGAAATTGAGATGATTTTGACTGGTTTTACAATGAAAAGTACCTTGAAATTGAGCTCAAAGTAGCAGAAGTGTTCAATTTTTACCAAAGTTCAAAAGTAAACAAATCATGCCAAGCGTCCAATACACGTCAACTGGCGAGTCTAATATTCTTTCACAAGTGCGCTGATATTTATACCATTTCTGCACAAATGCAGTAGTCTGCATAACGGTAAATCTTCTATTTTTTTGTAAGAATAAAAATTCAAAGTGGAAAGCCAAAGAAATATAACAGGGGCCTGAGGATGTGACTAGCGAACAGAGAACTTATTTTAGTGCCAGGAATGTC